TGTCTGGGGCCCCCGGAGGGCACGCGCACCTGCCGGGCCCCCAGCCCCGCGATGCCAGCACAGCCGTTCCGCCCGGAGACCATCTCAGCCCTGCGGCAATCCACGTCCTGGCACGAGCCGAGCTGTGGAGGAAACGACTGACGGCGAGAACCGGGACCGTGGTTTGGTGTCGCCCAGAATTTGCCTCAGCCGCGGTGTCTGTGCTTTGGAGAGCTTCCAAGTCCGCTGCTGGAGGCGGGCAGGTGTCAGCCTGGAGTCCGCCTGGAGTCCGGTGAGATCCCCACCTCGAAGTGCTTTAAGAACTGACAGCGTTCAGCCTGCTATCGGGCGAACCGGAGCGGCTTCTCTGCTCGTACGGGAGTTACGCAGACCCCCCTGACCCTCAGAAAGGAGCTGTGCCCACCGGCGGTGCCCGGGCGGGAGGGGAAGGGGGAGCTGAGCCCCAGACGTACTTGAGGTGGTGGAAGTCGTGGAACTCCGGCGACGGCAGGAAGGGCAGGTGGTAGCCACAGTGCGAGATGGTGGTTGTTACGAGAGCAAGGGAGAACCACGCTGCGATTGAAACGATGTGAGACCCCATGATCATCGGGCCAGTCATGACAGGCAGCGTGTTCGAGAGCTAGAAATGAGAAGCAAACTCTGCTCGTTAATGGGTCCACAACAGGCAGACTCTCCTCTAGGAGCTGAATTGTTTCACCCGGGTGATAGATCGCATTAGTTGTCTGCAGACAGCATAGGGAAGGGAAGATCCCTCTGCAAACACCTTACCAGAATGACATAATCATGAAAGAAATAATTTACTCTCGGCTAACTGAGTCTTACTCACTGCAAAACAGTCACGGCCCAAGCTCCCTAAGCTTGTAGTAGAAGTTAGACATGAGATCAAACCGGGGGTGTGAGGGCAGCACGATCCCAGTAAATCACCCCAGAGTTAGAGGTTTGAATTTCATCTTCAACTCTGACTGATGCCGAAGCTGCTCTTGGGAAACCTAGCCGTCAGCAGGCATGGCCTGTGGCCACGTGCAGGCGAAGGCAGCGATGCGACGATCCCAGCTGCATCACTCCACTGCGTCCTACCGGTGGCACGAGTGGCTGTCGCTGCCCGGGCCGGGCTGACGGCACCAGCTGGGCTCAGCTGGGCTCTCAAATAGAGAAAGTCGTTCTGCTGCCCAGAGACTGCCAGTTGGGGAGACTCCCAGAGCTGGCGCTGCAGCCCAAGACTATTGTTAACAGGAGATAGTACTTAACTAAGGACCTAACTTCTTGTTAACAGGAGATCATGGAATCTCCTGAAGGTGGGATGTGTTTTCACGAGAAGCCTCAGCTGGAGCAGCGCTGGGAGATGCTCCTGCAAACCCTGCTCCCAGCCAGCAGCATGAAAACCGTGACAGAACGCTGAGCCCAGGCAGCAACCCAGACTGTGCAAGCGTTGCATCTCGTGCTGGAAGTGCCGTCCGTGCTCCCAACGCTCAAGGAAGCGCCGGTCAGTCAGTGCCCGTCTGTCCGAGTCCCTCGGGTCTCTGCTCCTAACGCTGGTGGAGCCCAGTATAAACAGGCACCGCAGCCCTGCTGCAGCTGGGCTCCGCGGCACCGCAGCCCGGCTTCCTCTTCCTGAGAAAGCAGAGTCTGAGGGTGCGCGGGCTTTTCTTCTGTTACCGCTCCTCCTCATCCCGTGGAAATCACGCTCCGCGCAGGAGCTGGAGGGCGACCGTGGGAGAATCCACTTACTATGTGCTCCACCGGGTGAGCGTAAATGGAGACCACGCCAATGGGGGCTGTCCACTCGTGGTGCTTCTTGTGGATGTGCTTGTACAGGAGTGGGAGGTGAACGAGCCTGAGGAGAGAAAACAGAGAAACGCAGGCTTTCAGCTCTGAGAAAGGAACCTAGAGTAACCTAACATGGGATTTCTGCTGGGGACTTGCTCATCCCTGTTCTTTAAAATAAAGGTTTTAGAGCAGCTGGGAATAAAGGCGCAGGACTCCTGGCTTCCTCCTCTCTCTTTTTCATCAGCGCTGAGCCCTCACGCAATGGCTGTGTCCACTGGCTGGTGTTAAACTGTTAAAAGTCCAGGTAAGTCCCATAAATCAAAGCCCCTGAATGACTGATTTGCTCAAACCTGGGAGTACTTCTGAGGGGAAGACTCACTTTATGTTTTCACTGTTTTGACTTTACCTACTGGCAACTATTAGAGGCAGAATTTTAGGTTCTGTGGGACCCTAAGGAATTGCTTTTTATGGGGTTTTTTTCTGTGTATTTGTCCAAAAGGAAAACCTACATATTTCTGAGAACACTGGGCCTGCTTCTGCGAAGCCTTGGGAGCCTTCTTCTTCCTCGCTTTAGTTTTTTTCTTTGACGTTGGAGTCAGGGCTTAGCAAGCCTGCAGTGTCGGGAGCCAGGCCCTGTTCCGTAGGTGCCGTACAAGTGAACGGGAGATCAGTCACCGGCCTCATAAGCCTTCTTCTTTCAGGACAGCCATCCTTGTTCTCCTCTTTTTGAAGAACGTTGGGCTACAGCTTTTCTGTGGAGCTAGCTGGCTTGTTTCTTTCTTAGCCTCTAAGGTGCTCCACCTTTGTCATTTTACCCATTTTTGCTTAGTGCAGTTACTAGCAGCCTTGCAGCACCAAAGCCTCACGTCGTAAGGGTGGATTCCAGGACCTGTAAGTCTTCCCAAATAAATACAAGAGTGGTGGAAGAGGAGGGATGAGGCTATTGCTGTTGCAAGAGATGGGTGCAAGCTTAAACATGTGTGGGGAAACCACAGACCCCTGTTCCTGTGCTCAGCTCACCTGTGTGTATAATAGAAGAGAATTTCCTCTATTACGGTGAAGACGCTTAGCTCCACAAGAAACCAGCGCAAGGTGGGTAATTCCTTGCTGAAGCTGTTGCCCCACCATCTCATGACGTAGAACATGGGCACAAGCATGGGCAAGGAGATACAGAACTGATTACACAGCACTGTGTAGATGGCCTGGCGCAATTTCTGTGTGTCCACCTGAAAAGAGAAGTCAGGACTTGAGGCTGAATCAGAAGCGATGTGTCTTCAAGTTGGGAGGATGAAGAGCTTTAAGATTTGTATGCTGTTTCTGTGTTAGTTTTGGGATCACCTTTTTAACAAGCAGTCAGTCCAGATCTGATCAGTAGCCTAACTCCAAGAACTGCCTTCCTCTCTGCAGTGGCTATGCAAGGCTCAGCCTGAGTCTCCTTGAATCCTATCTGGCTGCAAGGGAGAAGCATGCCAGGTTCTTCTCCCAGCTCCTAGCCTAAGAGCCTGCAGGAAGCGTTCAGCCAGAGAAGAGGCAGAGTGTGAAATACTTACAGGATCATTCTTGCCCAGCTGAATGCGATAGCGAGTAATGAAAGTTGGCTTTCCTGTTACATCAGCCACCATCAGGATTCCATTGAAGCTCCAGAAAGCAAGGCAAGGAATGAATGCAGCCCCTGCGGCGCGAGGAAAGGGCAGAGATGTGTGAATAAATTGAGAGCTATGGCTAAATCGGAGTCAAAATGCGGTGGCATAGCATCCAGAGGACCTTGCTGGGACTCAGATGTGCCAGGTGCGTTTCCCCTGCCCTGAGATGCTTTAAAATGGACTATGGGTACGTTCTGATTTCCAGGTAAGACCTAGGGAATGGGGAGCAGGTTAGGGAAAAGAACTGTCTCACAGGTTGAAACTTGCCTCAACCGCGGCTAAGAAAGGGCTTTTCTGGGAGGCTGGGGGATCTCTCTCATGGGTGGTTTTTAAATACAAGTAGGGGAAGGTCAAGTTGATCCCTGGGACCTTGCAAGGTCCCTACCAGGCCTGTTCACCAGCTGTTGATCTCAGAGCAGTTTTAAAGGTGCTACAGCAGGAGTAAAATGAACTAATTTTACTTTAGTTTTCAGTAATTAGTTATACTAAGTCATTCAGTTCTCACAGGAGCAAAGTGTCTTCACAGGGAAGCCATTTCAGCAGCAGCAGAGATCAGATTTTTAACCTGTGGTGGGGATCTAACGGTGAAGCAGCCCGAAGGCAGCACAGTGGCTTTGCAGCCTACGTGTGCCTTTTCAGTGGGAGGATTGGTGAGCTCGGGAAGGCATGTCCGTGTCCCCCTGTTAGATGAAATACACGGGCAGTTCCTCCCACAGCAGAGAGTTGCTCAAACTCACCGAGAAGGAAGATTGTCCACTCCTTTCCCTCAAACAGGTAGTAGATCTTTAGCCATGTTGTTTGCCAGAAATGGCCTGAAGAGGCCCAGAGATCCTGCACGTACCTGTGGGAATCAGTGTTCTTGGTTGCTCATCTTTCCATCGTCCGCTTTTCCCCCTCTCCACAGAACAGTTTCTCCTCAAGCCCCTGCGTTCGGACAGTCTTACCAAGAAACAGGGTTCACGAAGGCAGTGAATATGAGCAGGCCTGTACCTAGGACACAGGCAGTGATCTTCACGGCATGCCAGAGCTTCTCTTCCTGTGAGCAAGCAACAAGAGTAAGCCTGTGCTGCTGTGTCCTACGTTAGCGTGTTTTGTGTTTGCACTGCAGGAGGTCAAGGCAGTCCTGTGACGGCTGGTTTTGTTCCACAAACTCTGTCTGAGCACACACACATCCCTCTGCCATGCTTACAAAGACCTGGAGCATCACTGACATGGGATAACCAAAGGGACCGAAAGGACCCCTGATTTTTCCCTCTTGGTTTTTATTTGGCACGCTTCTTGGTCCCTGGAGGACTACAGCTCCAGTTAATCCAGAATCGCTCCTCTCGACTTTCCCCTTTGCTTTGAAGACTGATTCTGAAGTCACGCTCACGTGCCCAGAAGCGTGCCTTTTTTCCCCCAAGCATAACAGAGGTTTACGCAGGATATTACTTTTCCTTGCATAACTCACTTTGCTGTGCCTTTAGGCCATCACAGGTACAACTCCGTTCTAGTAGGCAGAGCACAACTAATCTGGTAGGTACCGCATGCCGTCTCTATAGAGTGGCTGCACAGTAACAAGGAGCTGAAATACTCAACTTCTCAAAAGTATCAAGTTCTCTAAATCCCCACTCTCAGTCACAGAAATGTTATCTACTAAAGAAATATTCCTGTGTACAGCATAAGGGCAGCTGTGATGTTAGCATGACTTTTATCCCAGTAAGGATTTTAACCATACAAAGCAACTGCAACAGAGTCAGAAAATTACCAGTGAGACCTTTTGATTCCTGGAATAAATATATTCAAAAAGCAGTATTCAATATATTTGAGCATTTAAACATTCAAACCCAAGTTGTTTATCCAATACACGACAAATTAACTGTCTTTTAGAGTAGCCCAAGTTGTCACTGGTTCTGGAGTTCGGCAGCCTTACCTTGGGTTTTCTTGGGTGAATATGCGTTATACTTATCTGCAGGATAAATGTTTTTTCAAAAAATCAATGCAATTTAAAAATAATATAGTGTAATAACCAGCTAGTGTCTTGGTAATTACTGTCCTTCCTGTTGTTTAACTGGGTGTTGTGCTGCACAGACAGACCATGTGATTCATAGTTGCAGTCCTGCTTGTCTCCAGTCAGAGAGGTCAAACAAGAGAGACAGCTCACTAATAAACGCGGAGTGCAGGTGTGTTCGGGTAATGCAATAGAGAGGAATCCTCTCCGCATGGCTTTCAGGGCCAAGAGCTTCTTTCGGGTTCTGTAACAGCCACAGAACATTAAATGTTGCCCAGGACCTGTCAGCAGCCTTTATCTGTCCCAGGACAGAACTTTGCTCATTAACACCTAAACCTCCCTCATTAAAACAGACAACCTTTTGTTCCTATCATCTCTTTTTTTTAATCAAGTTATCAACCGGGGAGGAAGTAATTTAAAGGGCTGTTGCCCTACAGCTCGATGTTTGTGAACCTAGAGGTTTATATCGGAAGCAATGCAATCCGTTGCCAGCGTTACCCCCGTGTGTGCTGAAGCACAGACACAAGGCTGGCGACAGCCGTCGGTTCCAGCTGCAGGCAGGGCAGGCTGCATTCCGGGCTGGGGATTTGCTCTCTTAGCACTCTCACGCTTCTGACTGCATCCACGGTATGCCTCATGTACGCTGACATGAGATAAGACTTCCTGAATCTTTCGACCCTGGAACATCATCTATATATTCTTTAGAAAAAAAGTTACAGAAGTTCTAAAAAGCTTAGAGCTTTTTCAACAGAATCGTATCCTATAAGTCCTTGTTTCTCCTGGGACGAAGAAAGAACATACAACCAAAGAAAAACTCTGATGTCTTACAAGTGTCAGAATTTTTAGTTAGGCCAAATAGTATTTCAGATCCTTTAGCATCTTCCAGCTGAAGAACACAGAGTTTCAAAAACTAATAACTCCGAATACTCATCAGACGCTGTGTATGTCCTGCTTTGAGATAGCTACTCTCTATCCTAAAGCTCAGCACTTCAGCTATTTTAAAAAACCTTTGGCGAGAAACAGTCTTCTTTTGAGGCTGTGTTGTTCTTGCACGTGATGGAGTCGTTAACGTGAATGAATCCCAGACAGTATAATTACATGAGCTGGGGAAGCAGAGAAGTTTACATAGAGAAAACCCCTTCTTGTTCATCAAGTCCAAATGCTAACACCCTGTTTCTCTTCATGCCAACAGCTCCAGCACAGTAGTTTCCAAACTCTGATCCATGTATCTCATGAGATCTTGCCCTTAAAGGGCTTGTACAAGTTGGCAGATTCCTTAAGGGCAGAACAGGGCTGCTGCCCGCAAGGTGAAGAGACTGGGCCACGTCAGCTGGGAAACAGACTGTTCAGCA